GGTAGTCTGATGAAGATGAGCGCCCTCCATATTGACCTAAAACTGCGGGACAGCGATAATCATAACTTTTTATTGGTCAACTGATGAGCCTCTGGAGCCTGAGAAGTTAAAACTGACAGATTTAAGTCAGGAATATTTAAAAGCCAATGAATTCCACAGGCGTGGTCTGCTACAACTGGTACACAGAGAAAACACTACCAGGAAACAATTACAATGTGCAAATTCGTAACGGCTTCCTGAGGTTTGGGGCGCAGACTCATCTGGCTTGTCAGTGGCGAGCTTTTTCTCCCACCTTTCCCTCTGCCTCAGTGGAAGGGGGGCCCCCACCCCATCCAAGGTGCTCTGCATCAGCAAAGTGGGGAGGTCAGTGGAGAGTCGTGGGCTTGGAACCCTAGGACCTCTGTTCAAATCACCTTTCAGTCATGTCGCTTCGGAAAAAGGGCTTCATCTTGCTGAGACGCAATTGTTTCATCTAACAAATCTTCAGGGTGTTTTGGAGGTTCAAAATATTCATATGTATTTTTTGGTTTTTGGTTTTTTTTTAAGTAAGCATTTGTATGAAAAAAAAAAGCCACCCATAAAACTAGCATCTGAATACATTCTATGTGACGTATTACAGAACAATGGCTAGATCATCAAATAAAAGGTATTTCTTAGATGAAAGCATTAGCCATTGTCTAAGAGGACAGGCAAACGCAAATCTAAAAGGTAACAGGCTGAGGGGTTTCCGTTACATATTATACAATAAACCCAGAAAGCCCATCTGCTAGGTAAAGGGACATCTAATACACAGAATGGTCCTTTTACTCTGCTTTGAACCTAATCTTGTTTTAAGATTTGACTGGTTAGGGACTATTATATTTCTGAATATTAGCCAATTAACGAGCATTATGGAGTGCCAACACCAGCACCGTTTTAGGTGTTTTGAGAATTTTTTTTTAAAGCAGAATAAAAGAAAAATATGACTTAGTGCAAGAACTGGACCACAGGGATAAATCATATAATAGACA